ACTGGACTGATTTCAGTAAGGCCCCAGGTAGTACAGACTGGAAAATCTGAAGTACAGATTTTCCCCCAAATAAACTAGAAGAACACTGATGATACTTTTAACATTGTTGTATTCTCAGTCCCTGGAGCAGAGTTGGTTGAACAAATGAATGAGTGGATCACCACAAGGAATGCACTACATTAGCCATCACCTGGGTTAGTGGGTTAACCCATTAGTTTGAGGTTTCAATATGTGGAAACCCCAGTGTACCAGCCAATGTTATTATTTTTTTTAAGATTTTATTTATTTATTTGAGAGAGAGAGAAAGGGTACACGCATGTGTGTGAGCATGAGCGGGGAGAGGGGCAGAGGGAGAAGCAGGCTCCCCGCTGAGTAGGGAGTCCAATGTAGGGCTCAATCCCAGGACCCTTGGGATCATGATCTGAGCCAAAGGCGGATGCTTAACTGACTGAGCCACCCAGGCACCCCAAAATATCTTATTTAAAGCTGATTTTAAAAATCAGGTAGTAGAAGTATGTGTAAACCTATTTAATTTTAAGAAAAAAGTGAACACTAAAGAAAGATAAAATCGTTTGACATTGGGTGTGGAGGAGAAGGAATAAAGAAAAAGGAGACGTACTGTGTTGTCGTTGTTCAGGAGGGAGTAACAGAAACAGTCTGAAGGAGTAGAGGACCGAAGGTATTATTTACTGTCATGGTTATAAAGGCAACACCTCATATACAACTTAAACCTTCCACAAGAGCAGGAAAAACACACCTAAAACAGCAAAGCAAACACAAAAGCACATAATAAAAGGGTAAAGAAGAACTTGAAAGGCTAGGAAAACACAGCATAAAATAACATAACCATCACGTGAATAGGGCTAAACCCATCTATTCCAAGAAAAAAGACTTTCAGATTAAATCAGAAAACAAAACTTGGTGTTCTATTCTCCTTTCCTTCTTTCTTTCTTCTTTGTGGGCAGCAAAGCAAAGTTTATTGAGCGGTAGTACAAAGCTCCCGAAGAAGGAGGGGACCCTAGAGGGTTGCCCTTGCTGTTCTAGTCAAGGGATTTGTCTAAAACAAAGGCTTCAGAAAACATAAAAACAGAAGGGCAAAGCTGTATTGGGCTAATGTAAACAAAATTTAGCAGGTTTGTCATAATATCAGACAAGGTTACATTCAGGGCAAAGGTCAAAAACATCAAGTGAGACAAACGTCCTTTTATAATTAAAAGGGACAATTCACAAGATTATAAAGCTATTTGTGCACAGATAACATAGTGTCATCATTTATAAAGAAGGACTCCAGAGAAATAAAGAGAAATAAAAACACAATAGTAGTTAAGGTTTTAATTTTACTTCTCTCCGATTATATCAGATCAAACTACATGTGAGGATACGGAAGCCTACACAACATAATAAGTTATATCTCATTGCTATGTATCAAAATCTCTATGCCAAAAACAGGGAATATGCATTCCTCTCCACGGCCCTTAAAACATTCACCAAAATCGACCCTCGTTTAGACCAAATAGAAAACTCAAGTATTTCAAAGATACAAAGTAGTACAGACAACATTGACCTCCCATCTCTGATCACAATGAGATAAAACTGAACATTAATGACCCAATCAGAAACAAAAGACTCTAATCCCTGCAAGTTTTAAAACTCTACCACTCTCTCCTGAAATTTAAAAACTCTGTATCAAAGGCAAGTCAAACACCAAAATTTTAGAATCTCCACAAAATAACAATAACAGAGATATGATACATCAGAAATTTGGGGATATAGCTAAAGTAATACCTATTTTTTTCTAAAGGCCTCTTACCCTTAAATACTTACATTTACAAGTAAAAATTGAAAAATTAAACATCCAACTCAAGAAGTTGGAGAGTGACAAAAATACCCATAAAGAAAGCAGAGAAAAAGAAATTAATAAAGATAAAAGCAGAAATGAATAAATTAGGAAACAAAAACATAAATAGTAGAACTAAAAAATATATCTATGAGCTGAAATGAAAAATACAATTTTAAATGGTAACATAATCAAGAAAGTAAACATATGCAAAACAAGAAATTAGGGGGAAATGAACAGGTTTGCAAAAGACTGCTTTGGTCCACTTGATGCAAATACACTTGAAAACATGGATGAAATATGATTTTCCAAAATAGACTCTAAAAGAGTCTTAAAAATCTAAATTGTGAAATTACCGCAGAAGGAATAAAGAAGATTGTCAAAGGTGTACTCTCCCCAGTGAAAGCATCAGGCCCAGAAATGTTCAACCAGGCAATGATCAAACCTCAAAGAACAGAACATTTTAAAGCTACTTAAATTGTTCCAGAGTAAAAAAAAAAAAAAAAGAACAAAAGCTTCGAAATGTTTTTTATGATGTGAGCGTAACATTGATTCTGAAAACCAACATCATTAGACATTCAAGAAGAAAATGATAGCTCATGCTTGCTTTTGGATATCAATGTAGAAATCCTAAGTAAAGTATAAGCAAACAGAATCAGCCACGTACTAAAAAAAAAAAAAAGCAGGACATGTAAGCTTATTCCAGAAATAAATTAAAAATTTTATCGGGGGGTGCCTGGGTGGCTCAGCTGGTTAAACGTCTGACTCTTGGTCTCAGCTTAGGTCGTGATCTCAGGGTCGTGAGATCGAGCCCAGCGTTGGACTCCCTCTGCCCCTCCCCCAGCTCACCTCTCTCTCTCTCTAAAATAAATAAATAAATCTTTAAAAAATTTGTATTAGAAACTTATTATAACTAAGACTTATTATTTCCATATTAGGAAACTTGTCACAAGTCTCTCGGAGAATGCAATGGGCAAGGGCGGATGTCTCCTCAGCCCCCATCCTGTGCAGTGAGGCAGATTGTCTGGTCTTGAGGCTCAGTCTTCATGTTTCATCCCTGTTTTCATCAGTCAACTTCCAAAATATAAGATGCTATCCCACCTCTATGCCCCACCACGCCCTGCTCCCCCTCACTGCTACCTCATCTTTCTGTGAACCTACCTCCTAAGCCCTTCCCATACTGACCTAGAATCTTCTGGAACTTCTGCCCCACACCCTGCATATTCTGCTGTATCTACACACACTGTCTCCAGCTCTGTCTTCACTGAAACACAGATCTCCCTGAGAACTCCTGAGAACCCCTGAGCCTGTTGTTCTCTAAGCCCCTGCTCCCCTGAACTCTTGTCCAAAGTCCTGCTTCTTTAAGATTTCAGTCACGTGATATTACCACCCTCTCCCCTTGCTGATTCACTGATTCACTCCACTTTCTTATTCACTGAAGACATCACTCGCAGTGATGCAAAAGGTGTTCTGCCATGTGTATGGGTATTTCCACATCCACGTGCATGACCTTAGCTCTTCTGTTCACCCCACTGCTCCTGCTGGGGCCGCCCTGCTTGCTGTACAAAGTACATAAGGATACTTGGTGGTCCTGCCTCCACTCCATGTTAGCCATCCATCCTCACATCCTGACCTGCTCATCAGCAACCATCCCTATTCTCTTACCAGAAGCTCCTCTCCAGCTTGCTTCTTTAATTACTCCAATAAGACAACTAAATCTCTGGCCCCTATCAAAATTCCCAGTCTGTTGAACCCACTACTTCTTCCCCACCATTCAACAATCTCCCTCCTCTACTTCTCTTATTACTCCACTTAGATCCCATGATTCAGCATTTCACACACTTCCACACTATTGCCATTTGAGGCTGGAACATTCTTGGTTGTGGGGGGCTGCCCTGCGCATTGCAGAATGTTTAACACCATTCCTGACCTCTACCCACTAGATGCCCATACCACCCCTAATCATGACAACCAAAAATATCTCCAGACATCACCATATTTTCCTGGGTCAGGGTGGGGGGCATGAGAACCACTAGTCTAGATTCATCCCTCTAACTTTTGCCTGGGACTCTACCTCCCTCCTCACAATATACAATCTTTTCAGGAATCATACAGTAGGAAATACCTTTTCCTCTTCTGTAGAGTTGGAAGCTCTCTCTCAACCAGATTCTTTTCATAAATACTCAAACATCTTTAAAAAAAAAAAAATCCTCAGTCACACTTCCATCCCCAACCACTGGTACCTCTCCTTCCCCTCCCCACCACATCTTGCAAGAGTTGGCTATTCTTCCTGCCTCCATTATTTGATTCTCTCTCCTTCAAATATGACTCAGGGTTCTTGGCATTCCACCCCTGTAGCTCTCGCTACAGTTCTAAGTGACTTCCATGTCTATAAACGCAGTGGACAGTTTTCAGCCTGTGGTCATAGGCACAATGGAGGAGAACCAGATGGAGGGAAGTAAAGATCCTGAATTTGGCCTTGACCCTGTTGGATTTCAGGTGTCTCAGAGGCATCCTAGAGGAGATGTTGTGTGGACACCGAGACAATGAGGGCTGGAGTCAGGGGAGAGGTCGAGGCTGGGACATAAACTGCCTAGGTATCCCGCAGTGTACCTAGGGACATGTGGGTATGTGTGTATGCGTGTGGGTAAGTGATGCCGTAGTTGTAATGTTAACTACCTTGGCAAGGGGCGGTGGTGTGTAGAGCAATTAGAATCACTTGAAGAGTTTGCAAAATGCAGATTCCTGGGTCCCACCCCAGTTTTTAATACGGTAAAAACTGAATAACCTCCTTGTGATGGAGAATTTGCATTTCTACCAAGTTCCCACATGATCGATGCTGAAGCTGGTGGTCCAGCTACCACACTCTACACACCACTGATCTAGAGTGAGGAGAGGAGGCCCTAGGGCTCGACTGGGCGCTCCAGCATTTATCAGTCAGAAGCGGAGGTGAGCCCAAGAGAGACAGAAGAAGGACCGGGGAAGAAAGGACCACCACCAGTTTTTGGATGGAGAGCGGCAGACGGTGAAGCTGCAGAGGCCCCAGGACTACATCTCCCAGGATGCCCCGCGCCGGCTCGCGCCCGCCCCCTGGAGGCGGCTCCCGGAGGCGCGGGTAGGATGCCAGGGACCTTTGGCGGAGCATCCGTGAGCGCGGGGAGCCGCGGCGGCTGCGGGCTGCGGCGGCGGCGACGGCGCGGCTGGAGCTAGCGGGGCCGGTGAGTAGGTGCGGCGCTGGTCGCCGGCTCCTTTGCGCCTCAGCCGCGTCGTCTTCCCGGGTCGAGAGGGCGAGCCCTGGGTTCCGAGGGTCCGGGAGCCGGGGCGCAGGACGGTCCGTCTGAGAGGGAAGACGCTCTGCTGCCGTTGTCGCCGCGGTGGCCCCGGTCCCCCTCCGCCCGGCGGGTCCCGCCCCCAGCCCGGGACGGATGTCCTACCCCGTCCTGCCCACCCAGCCCGGGAGCTGCGGGACCCGCGCCGCAGGTGGCAGCGGCAGGGGGCCGCCCCTCTCCCCTCCGGGCCCCGGGGGTTGGCGCAGAAGCCCAGGACGGAGGACCAGGTGACTCCCGAGGACTGCGGCCCTGAGAGGCGCCCCCAGCCCTCGCCGGGGTGGGACAGCTGCGTGGGCACGCCCGACCGGGGCTCCCCGGGGCCCCCGGAGCCTCCCGCACCCTCCCTGGTGCTGTCCTGAGGCTGCTGTGTGTGTGTGTCGGGGACCGAGTAACCCTTGGCCGTCCTCCGCGTCCACAGAGCTCCGGCCCCCTTGTTGGCCTGGGGTGACCGGGGAAGGCTCTGGCCGCGCGCTCCCGGGTCAGCTGGCGGTGTCCTGGGGGACCGTTTGGATGCTTAGGGGTAGCCGGTGATGCGGAGCCTGCCAGGAGTGCAACAGGAACAACCTCCTTCCCAAATATCTTTGAAATACAATTAATTTTATGTCCTTATTTTTTTTTTTAAAGCAAGTTTGACCCCGAATAGCTTATTTTTATTTTGTGCGAGCTGCAATTGCTAGCACGCAAGTTTATATAATAAGCAGTATAAGGTTTGAAAAAAATATTCCTCTGAAGGTGCTCTTCCTTGCCCTCTATCGGAAGAATGATGCTGGACTGGTTGACATGCTTATCCATTAGTAACTGCGGTAGCTGCGGGCAGGAGATAAAGTGTTTTTGAGTAGAGTCACAACTCAGCCCCTCAGGACCAGTTTTGGTTTGAGAAGATTTTTGTTATCCAGTTTCAGGCTCGATGGTATATCAACGTTTAAGATGGGAGAGGGGAGAAGGAGCAAAAGTTTGTCCACCCTAATTTCTTACTCTACAGAAAATAGCTTTGCATGAGTAACTCTCAAAGCAAGCACGGTTAATTTGGTAGCTAAGACTAGATCTGAAGCTCAGCCTTCATACTAACCTCTATCAGTTTTAATAGTTTTTCAGTTGATTCGTTTGGCTGTTCTAGGTAAATAATCTCGTCATCTGTTAAGAAGCAGCAGATGTCTCTTATTTTCCATTGACCATCTTCTCTACAGTGTTGACTATTTTGGGCTTGGTTTTAGGGGAATGCTCCCATGGGATCGTCACTAAATATATTTTTATCATACTAAGTAAGTTTTCATTTATGCCTACTTACTAAGAGTTTAAAAAGTTAGGGGTGGATATTGATTTTTTCCCCCCAAGTGTTTTTGTATAGCATATATTGATATGAACATGTAGATTTCTTCTTAAAATTGATAACATAGGTGACGCTGCGGCTAGATTTTCTGTGTCTAAAATCCTGGGATAGTTTAAAATGCACTTTTGGGTTGTTTGAAAGATTCAGTGAGCTAACATTTAATTAGAGTTTTGGTATTTATATTTATAAGTGAGATTGGTATATTCCCCCCCCCGCCCACTTTTTTGGGGTCTAAGTTCGTAATTAGGGTTAGGCTGTCTTCAGTGATTCAATTGGGAAACTTTCCACCATGTTCTATGCTCTGGAGCAGAAGAATTATCTGTTCCCTGAAGTTTGGCAGAATCTGACTGTAGGCTGCCTGGGCTGCTGGTGATAATATTTTTTAAGAAGTTGGTATCAGTACTTAACTATCTTTTCTATTCTTTCCATGATCATGGATTTTTCTCAGGTTTTCTGTTTCTTCAAAGTCAATCTAATATTTTATATCTTCCCAGAAAATCATTAACATTATTGAAATTTAATATGTGTTAGCATAATGTTGTTTATAGTCTTCTGTTGTAAGAAAATAGCTCTTCTACATCTATGGTATGTTGTCTATCTTGTTCACACTTTTGTATGCGTGCCTTTTTTTTCATGCTTGCTTATTTTATTATCTTTTCAAAGCACCAGTTTCTGGATTTACTGATTAATCCTGTTAATTTTATTTTTCTGTGTCATCCACTTATGTTCTTAATCTTTCTTGCTACTTAATTTGAGTTTATGTCTGTAAGTTCTAGCCTTTTGAATTTGATGGCTTCCATCATTGATGTAATCAATCCTCCTGAACAAGGCAAGAACATCTAATATTCTCATGCCAGTCACCTCCTATTTGCCTCTAAGCTCTGTTTTTACTTTAACTCTTTGCATTAGACATTATTGCTTATGTTACTATTATACTGATTTTCCAGGTCAATATTTATTAGACTTATCTACCTGTTTACCTACTTTCTTCACTCTTCATTCCTTCTTTTTTTTTTTTTAATGTTTATTTATTTATTTATTCATGAAAGTCAGAGAGAGAGAGAAAGGCAGAGGCAGAGGGAGAAGCAGGCTCCCCGCCTAGCAGGGAGCCCGATGCGGGACTCGATCCCAGGACCCTGCGACCATGACCTGAGCCGAAGGCAGACGCTTAACCATCTGAGCCACCCAGGCGCCCCTCTTCATTCCTTCTTATATCATGATATTCTTCTTTGGATCATTTTCCTTTTCCCTGAAGTACACTCTTTAGAAATTCCTGCAGTGATGATGCATTCTTTGTTTTAATATCTGAAAATGCTTTTATTTTGCCTGCACTCTTGAATTTTGGCTTCACCAGGTTTTTCTAAGCCATTGATTTCAAAGTTGTTGTTGTTATTTTTCTAGCAGTTTTTAAAGATATTTTGTGCCTGGAAGGCTTTGGGATCTCTATTCTGCCATATTGTTGAAAGAAAGATGGAGATTTTTAAAAAAACAGAAATTAATTTGTAATCTAATGAACTGTCAGTTTTTGTGACATTTCCCTGTACAAAATTATAGATTCATTTCAAATTTCTTTTTTTTTTTTAAAGATTTTATTTATTTGACAGAGAGACAGCACGAGAGGGAACACAAGCAGGGGGAGTGGGAAGGAGAAGCAGGCTTCCCGCGGAGCAGGGAGCCCGATGTGGGGCTCGATCCCAGGACTCTGGGATCATGACCTGAGCTGAAGGCAGACGCTCAACGACTGAGCCACCCAGGCGCCCTTATTTCAAATTTCTTAATTACAAATCTTGTTCTCTGTCTCCTTAGCTTATTTTTTCTCTGTTTGACCTGTTGATTCTGAGACTTACGTTAAAGATTTCCACTATGATTCCCAGTGGGTTTCTTTGGTTCTATTAGTTTTGTAATAGGTATGTTTATGGGCCACCCATAAACAGTGTTTATATATTTACGTGTATTTTTGAAGCTATGTTTTTAGACACTTTAAAGCTTTGCAATTCTTATATTTTCTCGTACCTTTGGGGAATAAATAGTCATCTATTTTATTTAATTGTTTCTGCTTTTGGTTCTGTTTTGTTGGATATTAATACTGCTACATTTGCTTTATTTTTGTGAGTACGTATCTGGCTTATCTGTTTATATTCATTTATTTTCAGTTTTCTGTGTTTTAGCTCTTACTCTTGCAATTAGCTTAGAGCTAGATTTTTGTTTTATTACTTAATGTTTGTGATTTTAAAAAATTATGGTAAAATACACATAAGATTTACTGTCTTAACATTTTTAAGTGTACAGTTCACTAGTATTAAGTATATTCACATTATTGTCCAACCAATCTCCAGAACTTTTTCATCTTGCAAAATTGAAACTCTATACACATTAAACAACCACCACCCATTCCCTCCTCCCCCCAGCTCCTGGTAACCAGCACTCTACTTTTTGTCTTTATGAATTTTCATGTTCTAGGAACCTCATAAAGTACCTATGTATTTGTCTTTTTGTGACTGGTTTATTCCACTTAGCATAAAGTCCCCAGGTCATTTGGTGTCATAGCATGTGTCAGAATTTTCTTCCTGTTTCCGGCTGAATAATATTCCATTGCGTATATATACCACATTTTGCTTATCATTTCATTTCTCGGTTGCTTCTATATTTTAGCTGTTGTGAATAATGCTGCTATGAATATGGGTATACAAATATCTCTTGGAGACCCCACTTTCAACGCTTTTGGGCATATACCCAGAACTGGAATTGTGAGTCATATGGTAATTCTGTATTTAACTTTTCAAGGAACTGCCAAACTATTTTTCACAGCAGCTGCACCATTTTACATACCGAACCAACAGGGCACAAGGGTTCCAATGTCTCCACATTCTCTACAACGCTTGTTATTTTCTGGGTTTTTTTTATTATTATGTTATGTTAATCATCATACATCACATCATTAGTTTTTGATGTAGTGTTCCATGATTCATTGTTTGCATATAACACCCAGTGCTCCATGCAGAATGTGCCATCTTTAATACCCATCACCAGGCTAACCCATCCTTCCACCCCCCTCCCCTCTAGAACCCTCAGTTTGTTTTTCAGAGTCTCAGGAAACAAACTGAGGGTTGCTGGAATTTCTGGGGGTTTTTTTGATAGCATCTATCATTATCGGTGTGAAATCTTTGCCTTTCAGTAAGCAGCTTTAACCTGTTTATATTTATTTCAATTACTGATATTTGGGACCTGCTTCCTGCCATCTTATTTTATGTTTTCTATATCTTCTGCTTATTTCCTGCCAGCCACCATCCCTTTCCTACTTTTTGTTAGATTGACTGAATTTTTCTTAATCTATGTTATTCCTCTCAAGATACATAAATTACAGATATTATTTCTACTCTATGTTAGGTACCTTTAAATTTGGAGGCATTTTTTTTTTTATGGAGGTACAACATAAGTGTGTAAAGGTACACACATGTTAAGTGTATAACTCCATGAATTTTAACAGGCTGAACACACATATATTCAGCACTCTAAATAAGAAACAACCTTTCCAACACTCCAGAATCTGCCCTCATGT